AAAAAAAAAAACATTCATTCATTCCAAGTTCCAACATGGTTAAGTCCAACTATCAACAACCCAATAATAACAACTAGGGCTGAGCATGGGACTCGGAGAATTCCGAATCGTTTCGAAAACTGAACCGAAATCACTTCGAACTGACAAATAACCGTTGACCGTTTGACTTTCTCCGAACCGAACCGAAAAAATAATTGGTACGGTTCTGGAGATTTCACAAATATCCGTACCGAGAACCAAATCGTCTCATACTGTACTGAACCGAAGAACCGAAATTAAGAACAAAATTATAACATTAGATGTGTTATTAATATATTTTTATGTCAACTTTGATTCTATATAATATAGTAATAAATATTAACCTTCACTTAAATTTTATGCTTAGTAAAACTTGATCTACAATTGATTTTTTTTTCGTTATAAAATAATTATTTAAAATAATATGAAAGTTTAAAAAATATTTTTTTTTAAAAAAAAATATATTATATTTTATTTGAATTTTAAATTTTCAATATTAGTTGCACAAATTTAGTTATAACTAAAATTTAGAGTTACTTATAAAGTTGATTTCAAAATAAAATCTTTAATATGAGGAAGTACTGATGAATGTTAGTTTTTTTTTTTTCGGAACGATATAAATATTATATAAAAACGCACAAAAGTTCAAAATTACAGCCACAAGCTGAATACAGACAACCAACAGCTAAATGCAAGCAGCCAACAGCTGAATAACTTGGGAGAACGGGAACGAAGCCCGCCTAGAACCGACCCCAATGGGGTAATATTCAGAACCCAAAAAGAACACTACGACACTAAAAAGCTCCCAAAGGAGAATAAAAAACACACAGAAAACGACCCTGACAGGGTAAAGCCTGAGTGTACGGTCCCAAAAGGATAATAAAATCACACTCGGGCTAACAGAGGCCAATGGCCCAAACCTAAAACACTGACCACACAGAAAAAGAAAAACAACACAACACACAAAACAAAACTACAAACTAAAGACTAACTAAACAAACAGCCTCCCTCAGCAGAAACATCCGAAAAGAACAGCAGGCACAGCCAACTCCGGGGAGAGCTCCGAAGCTCAGGAACCTCACCCGCCACTGCAGAAGGCCTAGCAAGACAAAGACCCAAACCACAAAGCAAACCCGATAAATCGACTTACACACCATCGCAAGAAATCAAAACGCCCTCCAACCGACTAACACCACTAGTCGATCCGAACTATCCCGAAATTGCCTAACACCACTAGCCAATTCCAAAAACGGACGGCCTCCCACCAACTCATAAGCTGAGAAGGAGAAGGAAGGGGGCGACAAATTTCAGAGCTCCACCGTGCCGACCCTGCCCGAAATAACAAACACGGCCTGAGACAACCATCAATCCACCCAGTCCGAAAGGATAAAGCATATAAAAATTAAATAACTAAAATTTAGAGTTACTTCTAGAATTGATTTCAAAATAAAATCTTCAATATGATGAATTATTGATTAATGTTGTTTTTTATAAGCATATAAAAATTAAAATATAACTAGGTGTCATTCAAAAATAATTTTAAAAAAAAAATCTCTGAAGATCCGAACCAAACCATACCGAACCGAACCGAACCGTCCCAATAGTATCGATTATCGAACCGAACCGAACCGAACCAAACCAAAAAATAAAAATCTCCGAATCGAACTGAACCGACTTTTTGATACGGTTCCAGAGATCGAATTTTGGGATCTCCGAAGTTTGGTGCGGTTCTGGAGATTTATCAATCTCCGAACCGTACCGACCCACGCTCACCCCTAATAACAACATTCCATAATTCAAAATTCAAAGTTTCAACATGATTAAAAAAATAAATTACATCAGAAACGCAACAATAACATGAAGTCAACATCACCAATCTACCCAATCCACTACTCCTGCATAAGAAAATAATAACAAAAAATTGAAACAAAAATATTATTATTATTATTATATTTTTGAAGGAAAAAAATAATATAATAAATTAAACTACAAAAACCTCATATATTAATTTGATCGATGAAGTAGCACCACGTTCCCCAAGGTTTGATCGACGGGGTGGACAAGCCCTTCCCACTCTAGATGGATGGGATGGTAGTTTATTAACCTCGGATTCGGGTGAATTTGCACTTTTAACTTGAGGTGGTGGCTTTTCATTTATATTGAGCATACCTATATGATGATACCAGTAAGTCAATAACCCCAAAAAAATATATATATTTCATGCACAATATGAATACCAAAATATTAATAAAAGAGTTACTTTATTTTAATTATTCGAGTTTCATGTAGAACTCAACTCTTCTTCCATAACCTCCTTGTGAAATTTAAGGGGGTGATTCATGATTGAATATAAATTCAACTAGTAAAACTAGTTTTTTACCTATAGTTGAGTTTGAAAAAAAAAAATAGTATAGTTAGTTGTTAGTGGATATATTAAAATAATTAAAGTTGATTTGATGTAAAAGTAGGCGAAAATGATTGGAAGTAATGGTTAGTTAAAATTATGTGAGTGAATGAATAGTGAATTAAAGTTGATGTGATGTGTAATAATGATTGGTTGATATTTATTTAATTATATTGATAATATTAGCAAATAGTGAAGTTGAGTTAAATTTTAGTTTTGTGTGAGATATTTACTATCGAAAACATAAACAATCACGCCCTAAATTACTCTTTTATAAGTCAATTGCTTGTGCAAACTAAGACATCGACCATCCTAAGCTTCAAAAAAGCTCTAAACGGATCCACAATCCTTCCTCCAAGGCTAAAGACATTTTCACTAGCAACACTCGAACTAGGAAAAACAAGTACATCCTTAGCAACCTTGGAAAGAATAGGGTAACTTGAGATTTTCTTTTTCCACCACCCCCGAAATCATTATTACTTGTACTTTCATATGTATCATTAAAGTACTTGTCAACTTTCTTCGCTATCTCTTTGAGTTTTGCTTCATTTCTTTGTCTATTAAGTATTTGCTCTATCCTCGACTCGAGTTCGTGTTCGAACCGCTCAAGCTCAACTCATATTCGAACTGAAACTCTCTTATTAGCTTGTCAAGATTGTATTTCTAAATTCTAAGCCAATACACTAAGACATGGGTCATATGCATACTTGCTACAATTCCTAAGCCTCAAAACCAAATGCTAATAAACTCTGCAATTTTATTTTATTTGTTCTAATTAGAAATTTGAATTCTCTACTTGAAATTGATTATCAGTTAAGATGAAAATATATATGTAACGATTGGGTTCATTGTCACATGGACATTAGAATTTGATAAATTTTAATATGTAACAATATAGAAAATCCCAATATCCATTTCAATATACAAGAGCGATATAAAAAAATTAAGTACACAATACATTCTTATAATGTCGTCAAATATACAAAGTACAAAGGTTTTAATTAATAATAAAATGAATACCATTGAAAGCAAAATAAAAGCAATATATCAATGCTAATAGACATCTAAAAAAATTGTAATTAATGTTTCAAAAAAATAAAAAATAAAAAATAAAAAATAAAAAATAAAGCATAGGGGATGTATTCAGGGTTTAGGGTTTTAGGCTTTAGCAGATTTGAACTCTCTCTCTCTCTCCCCCATCACCCCACCGCTGCAATCTGCCATGGAATCATAATTTATGCGCTGCAAATTCATTTATTTAACCAGCAAGTTCATCTTGTTTCTTTTTTGTTTGTTTGTTCAATGGCGAGAGGTCAGGCAAAGCGGCTTCTTTCCCTGTATTCCTGTAGAAATAGCACCATTTATTTGGGTAGGAACTTAATTCCTAGTCGGAAGCTCCATCTCCGCCCCAATTCCCCGCAAGTCTCGGCACAACCGTGGCCGCCGGTACCCATCTTCACACAGTTCATGAAATTCGGGGCATTTCCAGATTCTTACCGACATTGGTTCTGCACCCTGTCGGGAAATGAAAACGCGGTCCTAGATTCAGAGGAAAGTGTTCAACCAGAAGAGGAATATGGCAAATCGGGCGAGGAAGGAAGAATACCCGGGTCCGAAACTGAAATTGCTGGGCAGGAAGATCAAAGTCTGGATTTTTCCAGTAGGGATCCGGTACAGATATATCAAGATCTTAAGGACACCCTTCACTGCCAAAAGAAATCTGGTGCAGATTCGGATGCTTTGACTGAGATTTTGAGCGTTTTTTCCAAGTCCAGTTGGGCTACAAACCAGGCCCTTGCCATTTATATCAGCGCCTCATTTTTTCCGTCAGCGGCCGGTAAATTCGGCGGTTTTTTCGTGAAGAGGTCCAGCAACGATCTGGTTAAGTACTTGGTGTCCCTGTGTCCCGGAGACAAGGCCGACAGGTTTCTGTTCCCGATTTTCGTTGAATTTTGCCTGGAGCAATTTCCGGATGAGATCACAAGGTTCCGAAAAATGGTGGAGTCGGCCGACATGACCCGGCCCCACACTTGGTTCCCTTTCGCCAGGGCCATGAAACGTAAGATCGTCTATCACTGTGGGCCCACCAACAGCGGGAAGACGTACAATGCGCTGCAGAGATTTATGGAGGCTAAGAAAGGCGTTTACTGCAGCCCTCTTAGGTTGTTAGCCATGGAGGTTTTTGACAAGGTGAATGCTTTGGGAGTTTACTGTAGCCTTCTCACCGGCCAGGAGAAGAAGGACTTCCCGTTCTCGAACCATGTTGCTTGCACAGTTGAGATGGTCTCGACCGATGAATTGTATGATGTTGCAGTTATTGATGAGATCCAAATGATGGCTGATTCTTGCCGGGGCTATGCGTGGACGCGGGCGTTGCTCGGGCTTAAAGCCGACGAGATCCATTTGTGTGGGGACCCAAGTGTTCTGAATGTGGTGAGGCAAATTTGTTCGGACACGGGGGACGAACTCGTGGAACAGCACTATGAGAGATTCAAGCCTCTCGTGGTCGAGGCAAAAACTCTCTTGGGGGACTTGAAGAACGTGAAATCGGGAGATTGTATTGTTGCTTTCTCGAGGAGGGAAATATTTGAGGTTAAATTGGCGATCGAAAAATACACAAAGCACCGTTGTTGTGTCATATATGGGGCTCTGCCACCAGAGACCCGTCGGCAGCAGGCTTCCCTTTTTAACAATCAGGGTAATGAGTTTGATGTGTTGGTTGCCAGTGATGCTGTGGGTATGGGTTTGAATTTGAATATCCGGAGGATTGTATTCTATAACCTGTCAAAGTATAATGGTGATAAAATGGTGTGTGTGCCGGCTTCTCAAGTCAAACAGATAGCCGGAAGGGCAGGCCGTAGGGGGAGCCGATATCCAGATGGGTTAGCCACAACGTTGCAACTGGATGATTTGGACTATTTAATTGAGTGCCTGAAAAAGCCCTTTGAAGACGTCAAGAAAGTGGGCCTCTTTCCATTTTATGAGCAGGTTGAGCTATTCGCAGGCCAGCTCCCGGATATGAAGTTCTCCAAGCTTCTCGAGGATTTCTCCGAGAAATGCCGGCTTGATGGGTCCTACTTCCTCTGCCAGCACATGCACATAAGGAAAATAGCTAATATGTTGGATAAGATTAAAGGGTTGTCTTTGGAAGACCGTTTTAACTTTTGCTTTGCACCGGTGAATATTCGGGACCCGAAAGCAATGTACCATCTCCTGAGGTTTGCATCCTCGTATGCTCAAAAGCTTCCCGTAAATATAGCCATGGGCATGCCCAAGTGTGCGGCCCGCAATGACTCGGAGCTTCTGGATCTCGAGACCAGGCACCAGGTGCTTGCTATGTATTTGTGGCTGTCAAATCACTTTGAAGAGGAAAGGTTTCCTTTTGTGAGGAAGGCCGAGACTATGGCTACTGATATTGCGGAGCTACTGGCTGAGTCGCTTTTGAGGGCAAATTGGAAGCCAGAATCAAGAGGTGGGCTGAAACCCAAGACGCAAGAGAACGAGGAAAATGGTTATCAGAGACCTATGTCACAAATTAAATTACTGGAAAAGTAAGTCGTTTGAATCGTTTATGGTTGTTTTTGGTAATTTCGCTACCGGCATTACATTTTGAGAATTGTTTTTACTTTCCGTTAGTGTGCATTTGGTCAGCTGTTTTCACTGTATATGCATCCAAAATCTGGTGGGAGCATTGTCAAGCATTAATAATGTAATATAATGAATAGGCAGATGAAGAAAAGAAAAGAAACACAAAAACATGAATTTGCCCAACAAACATACAACCCACATTTTTGTTTCATTTTCGCATCATTTAAACCTAAATTATTATATTCTTGTTCGGTAGTTGCCGAGTAAAGCTCACTGTAATCAGTTTTCTTGAAAAACTTTTCTTGGATCCATCGTATGAGGACCATCATTTTTATACCCATTTTCTCTCTTCCTTTTGATCTCTTGCAGCAGATACCTTAAAATTTTCTATAATTATGTATATTTTTTATGATTACTAAGGTCCCACTGACACAGAGGATGAAACAATTTCATAGCAGTGTTCATAAGAGCACATTTTCTTCAACTTTTGTGAAATTTGGGATATGTTTTCTGTTCTTGGGGCTCGCCTATCGCTTTTTTTCATCGAGTTTGGTACAATTTTCCCCCGTTATTGTGGCTGAGGATGATGAAATGGGTTTGGACGGTGTCTGAGCCGTCGTCGGAGCAGCCGCCTACTAGTGATCTTCTCGTTAATCCCGATGATAATCGGACTTCAGACAACAGCAAGCTGATTTCTTTGTCCTTTTTTTTTTCTGTTTATTGAATAAATACATGCATAATATTTTGCTGCTTCTTTTTTCTAATTCTAAACATTTGTAGTGAGTGAAGAACACTGAAAAATCATTTCTTTCCTTGGTAATTACTTATATTTCCTGTAAATTCATCTTCAATCAGCCTGCATTTTATTTCCCTTGATTTTTTAACTAATAATATTTATGAATATTTTGAAGGGCATAATCTATATGCTCTTGAATATGTGAAGTAGTCAGTAATTAGTGAACTTTTGCATGTATATAGTATCTGTTCTGTTCATAATGTTAGAATAATGAATTGTTTTTACTTTTGCTATGTAGTGGTCATGACCATAATATACTGGTCACTTTATCATGTTGGGTTACATGTTAATTGTTCTGTCAAATCATTACCTCAGCCTGATGACTTTAAATGCAGTATCAAGGGACAAAAGAATTTGATCACAATTTATCACGTAACCTTGATAAACATTCTGAGCCCCGGTGAAAACACTATTATCGGTTAATATTTAAAAAATGTTCATTTTTATGACAAAAAAATCAGATAATCAAGCTGACTTAAAATTCTTGCTTTGCATAATAACTAAGGTCTCTATAAGATGACAACACTTTGATGTAGAACTGGCTTGAATAATAACTAAGGCATTATATATTGCAACATGATTGTGATCTTGAGTTGTTGTATAACATGGCCTATAGTTTAGAAACCTTGTTAAAATGGGTGTGTGTGCAATTGAATTACGGCATCATCTTGAGTTTGAGATGAGGATCTTATGGTTATTGAATATCTTGATTCTTGCGTGATTGCCAAGTTGCTTTGGGCTCTTGGATTTCCATGATTCCATCTCGAGATGGTGAATTTCTATAGTCGGCGATTTGTTATAGTATGCTTTGAAACATCATCATCAACATCAACATACCCAGTATATTCCCAAACAGGTTGGGGTCTGGGGGTCAGTTGTACGCAGACCTTACCCTTGTAATTATACAAGGAGGCTGTTTCCATAGCGACCCAAGGTGCGTTGCGTCGTTTGATATATTTTTTCTAGAAACTTCACTAATAGAAGAAGTACTAGAATTTAATTGAGTCATTTTGATCTAGTCCATTATTTGCACGATGCCAGAAGAATTGTCAACATTGACTCTTCCAGCTCCATTGTCAGAATATGGAATATGCTTTGAAAGTGCCCCATTATCTGATGGAACATGTTCACGATCTATTTGGCAGGAAAAGGCAAGAGAAAACTCAAAACGCACATCATCAAGAGGAAGTTACTGCATGAGAACATCCTGATTGTGAAGGTAAATGTAGTTCTCTTGCATCTCAGCTATAATTGCGTCTTCTGTAGATAATTACTGTTTATGGTCAGGACAAACTTTAGGGGTGTGTATTTGGTCTACTCTTCACTTCTTCACTGCTGCTCACTGAAAGTTGTTATGAAAAATAAAAAATTGCTTGGTTCAGAGTTTCTGATCCCCCCCCCCGGATGTAATTTAGTTTTATAATGTTTAAAACTGGAGTAAATCCAACAAATAAATTAGAAAAGCTAGTGAAGAGTAGACCACCATAACCCCAAACCCAATGTTGGCATTGCTACCCCCTCGTTGCTTCTAATTTTTGTATTAATTGATGACAAAAATAAGCGAATGTTATGCAAACACAAAGAACTTTATTTTTTAGCAAAAAACTGACACTTTTCTTCCTTTATTGAACTTTCAATTTACATGCATTTATTGAACTTGAGTTTGCTGGTTGTGTGAGCCTTTTGCAGGATTAAACGTCGTTTGGTTCCTCGATATGGCCATTCATTCGTCGCATATTAGAAGTGACTGAATAGATAATTCTGTCGGGAGTTAGGTTTTTTTGAACATAGGATACCAAAGGTAAAGAAGGGTAAAAAACTGTCAAACTTCAGGGGATCATCATCGTTTGCCTATCGAATGCCAAGGATTTTGAATATGGAGAATTGTACATATATCATCCATCTATGGTTTCTTCGCCAGCTGGTTCTCCTCACTGACCTTCCTCCATTCCAACCAAGCTCTACTCTGGTGCCGCCACGAGTGCTTCTCATGTACTCTCGCTGACTTTTCACGAACAACTTTATACTATTTCTTGATTCTTCTGTTGATGTTTCTTTGGCCTCACGACGTTTTGTTTTTATGTGGCACCTAACTTTCCAAAAACTGATTCTGTTATTTTATTTTTATTTTATTTTTATTTTTGCTGATTACAATTTATCAATTGCAACTAATTCGTGTAGTATATAGAGGCGATTGTTGTGTGAGTTGGGCAATTTACTCCCAATTGTTGTGTGTTCTCTCAGTTGCGTAGAACCTAAAATCCGAATCATTTGTTGAATGCTTCAATTTACGTGCGGGTGGGATCGACTTAGCCCTCGTCCACCCCGTTCAAGCTACTGGTTTGGTCCTCATGTTCTTTCTTCTTTTCTGTTTTAAATTAATAAGTTGAGTACTTGAGTTGAGCTAGCCACTGGTTTGGCGTTCACCACCCTTGTTTTGCATGTATGGCTGGTTATACAAAATGTGGTTTGGATAATTAAGAAATGGATGAAAATGCGACAGGTTCATAAAGAATTGCAAGACACGATGGCCCAATCAAAACACGATCAGAAAGCCACTTTAGCCACGTGGCGAGCACCGGTGGTGCACAGTAAAAATGGGTGGCACCCTCGCGGGTGGGATCAACTTAACCCACTTTAGCCACGTGGCGAGCACCAGTGGCGCACAGTAAAAATGGGTGGCACCCGCGCGGGTGGGATCAACTTAACAGTTTAGAGCAACTCTAGTGTTGACTCTACATTACAATTTTACTTTAGAGTTGTGTAAAAAACTTGCTCAAATATTGTGTTATATTTTCGCACTAATCTGAAAGATGTGAGCAATACCGCTGCATGTAGCATAGTGCTATTCACCGCGCTACAATTATTCTTTTTTAAAAAAATTTAATTTTTAATTGATTTATATTTCTAGATATATTATAATTTATATTCCGATTATAATTATATTTATATTTTATTTTGTACTAATATATTTTATGTAGAGAAAAATGTAATACGAATGATTGGAGGCAAAAATTAAATTTTGACATTCACTAGTAAATTTTGCACTAAAGTTGAGTAGAGGATTAGATGATCTTAACTAATCACAAGCACCACTGAGCTCATAAATTTTTCTCATGGAACACAAGATTTGGAGATTTGGGATTAGGACTGCAAGCAAGTTGAGCCGAGTATTGCTTATCCAGCTAGCACCTCGATTGATCTTACATCTGCTCGAGCTTGAGCATTTTAAGGCTTCGCTTGGATCAACAAAGAAACACAAACGCTGCGATCGGCTCGTAGTTTGCTAAAGTTCGGTTCAAAATTTCAACTAAAAATATCTAATATGGGCATTTCAATAATTATATAATTATATGTATATTCGTGTGGCTCGTTGATCAATAGAGTATACAAACTACAGGCTTAAGCTCGAGTCGAGCATCGACTCGCGCGCTTAATGCGTTCCATAACTCAAGCATCTAAGTACCAAAGCTATGATCAAAAAAGAAAAAGGAAAGAGAAAAAAACAGAGCTGAATTCTAAGTATACATTTCATGACCAAACGAAACTACAACCAAACTACTACTAGCAGCTGCAAAGCAAACAACAAAAATTATTCTCCCCACAACGCATATGATAGAAAAACCATGCTTCGAAATAAGCTATCAAAACCACAAGTTACGCAAACTAATTAATTATAAAGAAGCATCTCAAGCACCAAGACGCGTACTTAAACTAACTGGGCAAGACTACTTCAGTCTCTCCATTTTAGTCGAAAGCGAATCTGTTGATCAACATCGTTCGGCAAACCCCATTCAGATATATTCGCTCCTTGCAAAGGACGCCATCTCTCTCCATTCTCGTCACTGGCCTCCACGCTTACTGCCTCTAAGTCCTGCCGCCAAAAGCAATTCTCCCTTTCATTCTCCATCAGAAAGATATCACACAAACGATCAACGAGTTCGTTGACTCCTCCATACTTTTTAGTCACTGGAACTGTATGCGAATCAATGACTTCATTGTTGCCTCCATACTCTTCAGCCATTATTTCATCCACATACAAATCAAAGGGGTGCGGTTTGTTTTTATACTCTGGAACGGCATACACAAACTGTTCTACATATCTCGGCCGTAAATTACCAAAGAATAAATTCAAAAAAGCCTCGAGGAGAGGCAATCTCGAAGAGTGCACTACAGTCAAGCTCTCGATCACGGGAAGTTCTCCAAGACCCTCATAACTGAATGCTAGATCCTCAGGAAAATCTTCCATGTGCAGAGAAAATCGAGAATGTCCCAATGACCTGTGCAGTTCATGTAACTTATCAAACAACGACGCAGCTTCATTATCCTCATTAGGATAAACATAACTCAAGTAAATCTCTGATCTCCACTCGCTGGAATCTGTTGTCAACGAGATTGACGGGAAATCATAGCAATACAACCGGAGACAAAGTATATTCGGGAGGTGAAGAACTGCCTTGGTGGGGCCTTCCACCCCAAAAGACAAACGCTTAATCGAGCGGCTCGAGAGCTGGAACTCTTCGAGGCCACTGCAACATTGCATTTCCAATTCCTCAAGACAGCAAAAGTCGACCGAGAACATATCAAAGTTCCTTGGGCTAAGCACCACATAATGGAGACGCACGGTCTTGAGATGAGGGAAGGACTTACGGTAGTGGAACCATCTCGAATGACCCACAATGGTGATGCTCTCTAAACTCGGGGCATCAATGTCGATGGTGACAGCATCATTCATAGGGCAATCATTGTACTTAAAGCGCTTGAGATTATTATTACAAGCCTTAACTGTTGTGAGACCTTCACAAGCCTCGATGACCACATGTTCCATAGAGGGGCAGCCGGACATTATCTTCTGCAAAGTTTCAACTCCAATATCGACGTGGAAGAGCGAAAATCTACGCAGATGTTTAGAAAGTAGCTTGTCTGGATAATGAATTCGGCAGTTCGCGAGACGCAATTCCTCGAGGTTTTCGGCTTCAAAGACGACGGACGGTATATCAAAGACTTCCCGATGGGATACAAGACGGAACCTTTTCACACCCATATTCAGCAATGGGATCCACTTTTGAAGCAGGGGAATGGATTTAGGATCAAAATCGACAAGAAATTCCTGTACGGAAAGCCCTCGGTCATGGTAACCTTGCAGCGTCTTGTCCAAAGCCAACACGAACTTGTCATGATTCCCTTTGAAGGAGTAATAACGAAAGTCGATTTTGGGGCGAGTGCAGCCAAGATCGCGCCATGATTTGGATAATGCGCTAGTTTGGACGGCGTGCTCTTGGGAGAGGAAACAGAGAACTTGGTGCAAAATGGGCTGTGGCAAATGGGATATTCTGTCGCGAGTGGAGTTGGAGCTGGTGTTCCTTCTTTTCGATGGATGATGAGCTTCCATGGCCGATGAATTGACCTTTTCTCTGAATTTTTCGATATGAAATGAACCCTAGCGCTTTGTGTAGAACATATTAATTTAGTGGGCATGTGACTTCGATACCGTTTTATAGGTTGTAAGGTGGAACCCAGGAGTTTTGGCAAGAATGAAGATTTTCCATTTTGGATAAATGGTTAAACTCCACGTTTGCGAACATTACTCATTCGTTCGTGTTCGACAAGAGCTTGTCCTTTGTTAATTGATCAAAATCGAACATAAAATTTGACTCGTTTAATACGTGGGTTCGAAATAATAGATCTCGAGCTACTCAAACAATTTTTAAATATTTGTTTACTAAATTATACAAACTCGAGCTTTGACGAACATTTAAACGAACGCGTTCAAACACGATTTTTTACTCGAAAAACAAACAAACAAACATAAGTTGTATTCATACATTTTCAAACACGAGCTCAAAATTAAGGTCATCTCGTCGTTTGATTACAACACTAATCTAAATATAAGCAATTCACATTTGACCACTCGAGTCCCACCGTCCAAACACTAGAAATACTAGCACACAGTGGAAATGCACGAACAATGAATAATTTTTTTTTACTGGAAAAGAAACTTATCATTAACAAATCAACCAGAAACTAAATCAGTACAAATAAGTTTCTTAAGCCAAGACGGGAAACATCCACCTCCCATAAGAAACGGGCGTTTGAAAAAGAAGCAAATTTTGCAAGAGCATGAGCGACATTATTGGTTGAGCGACGTATATGAAGGAGATGTCTAGACGTTGTTGCTTGAGACATAAGATCATCAATATCTTTAGACCACGGGCGAATATAGCCATGTGTCTCGATGAAGTCGGTAACTGCTTGTACCGCCAACAACGAGTTCGTGTAAATAAATAGAGGAATTTGGTGCAACAAGCAACATTTATCCAAACCTTCTTTGATTGCTAGAAGCTCAACCCAAATTTCTGACTGGCATTCCAAAAGCAAAAAGGGCTATGCCTTCATCATCACGAGTGATTCTCCCTATACCGAATTTGTCAGCTTTCATATTAACACTTACATCCACATCCAGACGCACTGAATTTTTGGGTGGAGGGTTCCATTTGATATTTTGTTGACTATCTTCTGGACAAGGAGAATGCCGGTAGGAGCCAGATGAAATTTAAAAATTATGTACTATGCTTTCAGCTCCAGCAACTAACTTGAGATCGCCATTAAGGTGAGGACCATGGACAACCCGTTGTCTTTTTTTTTTTCAAATTAACCAAGCTGAAAGAGCAAAAATTTCAAACTCATGAGTTGTCGAGGTTTGTTGCATCCAATATTTGATAAAGCAGCAACGATTTTTAATCTTGACATATTTTTAATCCAACAACTTACTTTTATTTATTGTTTAATTAGATATAGTACATACTTATATAAAAACAAAATTAAATAAAAACATTTATATATAATTTGAAAATTTATTATTTTAATTTATATAGAATAAAAAATATATTATTTTTTATCTATTAAAAATATTTTACTTTTAAAAATATATTATTAAAAAATATTAAAAGTATATATTATTAAAAATATATTACTTTAAAAAATAAAATTCAAATAAAAAATTGAAAACTTACTTTTATTTGTTGTTTAACTAAAAAAAATATATATATTATTAAAACTATATTACTTTTTATTTTTATATATATTAAAAATATATTACTTTTAAGAATATTTTATTTATTATATATAATTTAAAAATAAATTACTTTATTTTTATATATTTTTAAGAATATATTATTTTTTTTAATTATTAAAAAAGTACATTATTTTAACTCGGCCTCTAAGGTAAATCCAATTCCTTGTATAATAGATTGACTATTGGGTAAAGGTGTAGCGGAGAGAAAGCAACAGAGAATCATGCACCTCATAGGCACCATACTCTTTCCAAATCTTTTTTTTGGATGCCTTGCTAGCGTAGTTTAGGTGACAAAGTTGGCTCTTATACTGACGAAGCGAAGTTCAGTCATAGAGGAAAACTTGTCGCCCAGAGTGCTTAGCCAAGAGTGGACCAGGCCAGATGGCGGTCCTGCGAAGCCGGTCACCTATTTTTATATATTATTAAAATTATATTATTTTATTTTTATATATTATTAAAAAAAGCATTTATATATAATTTATAAAAAAAATATTTTCAAAAAAACTTTTTATAATAAAAAATGCTAATGTCATTCCATTCAGGTCTTATTCCTTCTGCATACCAAACGCATCAATGACAAAACTTATTTCATTTAATTCCCACAATCATTTCATTCTTCAATTCATTCTATTCCTACGATATTCCATTTCATTATATCAATCACAATCTCCTGTTGGGAGCAAACACCTAGGCATTCTCCTGTTGGGAGCCTTTAGTTTTTAGTTTTGTGTTTGTGTTGTAGTTGTGTTTTGCTCCTGTTGGGAGTTAGTTCTTTTTGTTCGTTGTTTGCGTGAGGTTTTATTCTGGCGTTGCCAGCGATTCTAGGCGGACTTCGGTCTAGCCTCCAAGTTTGTAATTCCGCACTTTTGTGCGCCTTTTATATAGTACTTCTATCGTTTTGGGAAAAAAAAAAAAAAATCACAACCTTAGTTGGCCACAATTTGGAGGGCTGCTGCATTATGCATAGAATGCCATCTCGCATGCAATAGATAGAAAAAAAACAAACAACTAAATTAGAAGCTTCAATTTCTTGTCCCCATAAGGCAAATGATAGAAAAAAGAAAAAACAAATTAACCACGAAATG